ACTGGGGTTTGAACTCAGGACCTCATGCTTGCTAGGCAGGCACTCTATCACTTGAGCCACCCTGCCAGCCCTGGCAGTTTCCTTTTTAAAATATAGGTTTAATTATACTCCCAGTGGGATTATTCCTCTGCTTCAAATTTTACAATTGTTTTTCATCTTTAGGACAAAATTCAAAATCCTTAAAGCAATCCCATCTCTCTGGCTGTACCAAAGCTATGCTCCTCAGCTCCAAGCCTTTGCACATGCTATTCCTTCTGCTTGGGCAATTGTACCCATTCTTCAGGTCTCCACTGAATGTCTCTACCCATTCCTTTCATCACATTCACCAACAATCTAACCATGTAAGTTTGTCAGAACTGTAAGAGGCTGGTGGAGTCACTCAATGGTGGAGGGCCTGCCTAGCAAGAATGAGGCCCTGAGTTCAAATCCCAGTACCACACACACACACACAAAAAACCTGTAAGAGACATGAAGGGAAGCTGGGCATGGTGGTATGCACTCAGGAGGCTGAGGTGGGAGAATCACTAGTTTGAGGCCAGCCTGAGCTACATAGTGAGATCCTGTATCAAAGGAGAAAAAAAAAAAAGCCATGAGACAGGGATTGTCTACAACTGCCTTTACCGTTCTATCCTCGCCATACAGCATAATATATGCAGTATAGCAGACACTCAGTGAAACCTTATTGAATCAAAGATTACACCCTCTCATGGAAATGCTTATTTGTATTCATCAACCAAGTCACATGCACAGATGATAACAGGGAAAGAATGATTTAAATGTGCTAATTAGCCACAAAATCACCTGCAATGAAATAGACTGCCCACACTCTCTTCCCATAAACACCTGCCTCTGCTCCAATGTAGCACAGACCACAAAAGAACAGTCAAGGCTGGGTGCAGTAGCTTATTCCTGTAATCCTAGTTATTTGGGAAGCTGAGATCAGGAAGACTGTGGTTCAAAGCCATGTCAGGCAAATAGTTCACAAGAACCCATCTCCAAAATAACCAGACCAAAATGGACTGGAGGTGTGGCTCAAGCAGTAGAATGCTTACTTTGCAAGCATAAAGCCCTGAGTTCAAACTCCAGACCCACCAAAATAAATAAATGAATAAAGCACAGTCAGGGAAAAATATGTCATTTCTAAATCAGAAATGCTCATTTTTCAAAAAGAGCCAATATCTTATTTTCATTAGATAAAGACCCTGTCTTAGGGCCTCTTCTTCCTACTTTAAAGATTTTTGGAGGCTTGTCTTAGTCTTCTTGGGCTACCATAACAATGCATCATGGAATGTGTGTCTTAAATATCACTGTATATATATATACACTGTATATATATATATATATATATATATATATATATATATATATATATATTCTTGCAATTCTGCAGGCCAGTTCAGTTTCTAGTGAGGGCTTTAGAGAGTTGCCTTCTCACTATGGCTTATAGACAGCTGCCTTCTCATTCATACAAGGCCTCACCTCAGTTTGCATGTGTGTGTGTGTGTGTGTGTGTGTGTGTGTGTGTGTGGAGAGAGAGAGAGAGAGAGAGACAGAGAGAGAGAGAGAGAGAGAGATCAGTCTAGTGTCTCTTCTTAGACGTGCACTAGGACTTCAGGACCTCACCCTATGACCTCAAACTTAATTGCTTTCTTAGAGGTCCCATCTGCAAATACATATTAGGGTAAGTCTCCAATATCTGAGGAGGGTGGCCACAAACTCTAAGTCTATTACAAAGTTTGAGTCTATCACAAAGTTTATTACAAAGCTCAATCTCCTGTCTCTTTCTCTAGTCCAAAAGGAACCTGTACCTGTATTTCCTTAACTGGATGGCTAGAGAACTTTAGTTAGGGACAGAGCCATCCAGTGTGGAGGAAGAAGAGCCAAGGAAAATGGAGAAACGACTGTCACAAAGCTAGGGGGACTTTAGAGTGACTCAACGAAGGAGAAGAGCAAGAGCGAGCAGTAGCTTAAGGCCTGCATAATTGCACCTCTCCCTAGAGTATTCTTATTTTTTCATAAATTCCTCCATTTCACCACTTACTGTGGTGGTAATTCAGGCTAGTGACTTCAAGCCCTTTGCCTCAGTTTCCCCATCTGCAATACCATCTCAGAAGACTGTTGTGAGGATTAAATGAGAATGCAGGTAAAGGACCTGACATATATTAAGTCCTCAGTAAACATTAGCTAACATTGTGATGCTTCCCAGCCTCCTGTTCTCAACAGGCTGCATGCACCTCTTCACCCCAGATTCCCAGTCCTTGCTCATGACATTCCTTCTGCCTGCAATGTCCTTTCCAGCCTCTCCCACCTGCACATACTTCACACCCTGCTCAGTTACCATTATAACATTTACCAACAATTCCACCATTCCAATTAAGTAACAATGTTGCTTTAGTAGTTAAACATTTTCTGTCTACTCCAGGAAAGAAGTTTCTTAATCCTCAATGTGTCTTTCAGTCCCTAACCCAGCCACTACACTGCAAATGTTCTGCAAGTCCTGCTTGAAGAAGGGAAGGAAGAAATTTAAAAGGTCACCTGAACCCTTAAGCAGTAGTTCTAACTCTAATTTTCCTGTAAGCAGAGGTCTTATAAGGGTTATCACAAAATGCTCTGCAAATTCTCAAAACAAGATTTTTTTGGGGTGGTACTGGGGTTTGAACTCACAGTTGCTACACAAACACTCTACCACTTGAGCCATGTCTCCAGCCCCTCCACTCCCACTTTTTTTGAGATATTATTATGTAGCCCAGGCTGGCCTCAAACTAGCAATTCTCCTGCTTCAGCCTCCCAAGTGCAGGGATTACAGATGTATGCCACCATGTTCAATTTTAAGATTACTTTTATCTAGACTTTAGTTGTAAAACAACCCCAAACCTGTGACACAGAACTTTCTGAAAAAGAGAGCATTATAAGCTGGATGCCGGTGGCTCATGCCTGTAGTCCTAGCTACTCAGGAGGCAGAGATCAGGAGGATCTGAGTTCGAAGCCAGACTGGGCAAATAGTTCAGCGAGACCCTATCTTGAAAAATCCTTCACAAAAATAGGGTTGGTGGAGTGGCTCAAGGTAAAGGCCTTGAATTCAAGCCCCAGTACCAAAAAAAAAATTATAAAATCAAGTGACTGTAAGAATAACTCAACCCCAAAATGTTTGCATTGATAATGCTTTCAGTGATGTGGTAGGAGATAAGCAGACAGCAGCAAAAGCAGTGAGAAATGGATGCAAAGAATAGACACTCATTTGCTGAGTGTCTCTTCTCCATCAGATGCAATCCTTGTCAACAGTCCTGTCAGGGAGATAGCCTTAAACCCAGGTCTATCTGACTCCCTACTTTGTGGATGAAAAGAAGTGTTGCTTGCAGAATGGCTCATGTGGTAAAAGTGCCTGCCTAGCAACCGTGAGGCCCTGAGTTCAAACCCCAGTACCACCAAAGAAAGAAAGGAAAAGAGGCACAATCGGAAGGTGTTGCATAGCCAATGAATATGCCCATCTGCCTCATAGACTTACCTGCTTGAGGACATGGTCCCTGGGAGGGACCTCAAGGGAACAATAATAAGGGGTGGAAGTGTGGACTGAAAGGTGGACGTCAGGCCTGGGAAGTAACGTACAGAATGTAATGTCATGAAAACCAATGAGTTCTCCTTGTCCCCAAAGAGCTCCCTGCTTAACTTATATTATGGTTTTATGGTTAAAGGCCTTATTTCTAGCAGACTTTCAGGATATAAGCATTACCTGGGAAAGGAAGTAAAAGCAAGGAACCCAGCAACACAGAAAGACTGACTAGTTTATCAGATTAGTCATCACCTGGGTGACATGACAGAAGGGCACCAGGAACTGATAAGAGATGAGTGTGGGCTTAGAAAGTGGGAAAGGACTGCAACTTGGGATGTGTTTCTGAGATTATGAAAAGGGAGGGTGGTGTGGATTGAGGGCATTGGTGAGTGGAAGGACACTGAAGGCAAACTTAGCCTGTTTCCCATTGTTGCACTACCTGTACCTCTATTTTCTTTCACCTCCTTGATCACTAAACTCAAGGGTCATAAGGATGAGGAGCATGAAGGATCAACTTCAATGTTTAAGGAAGTCTGCACTGCAAGTGTACTACAGCTTCCAGGAGCCAAAAAGTTAAACTAGGCAGGAGGGATGCAGAAGTGCAAAGGCTTGGAAGAGAAGCAAGTGGGCTCCTTACCAGCTCCTCACACCTGTGGCTCACTGATGGCAGCTTAACAAGTCCCAGCCATCATCTCTGCCTCCTAGCAGAGGGCTCCTTTGCACAAGTTCACGCACCCATCCATGTAAGAACTGTTTACATGCATGGGCTTAGAATTCTCCTGAAGGCCACAAGAGGGCGGTGTATAGCAGGGATCTTGTGAGCTCGGATGCTCAAGTGAGGACCAAGCCGTCTACCTAGCAACATAGCTGCTCAGGCTTGGTCTGGGCCCCCTGGAAGTACCAACCACCCCAGACTATCCCTCAGATCCTACACACTCCTCTTCCACATCACTCCAACTTCTCTGAGCTTCCATTCCTAACTCAGAGGCATCTATCTACCTGGATTCCAGAAGTCTAGTGTGTTGGAATTCAGAAGTAACCTAAAAATCCAGGTTAGGGAAGCAGCAAAAGCAAGAAGAAGAAGGAAGAAGGGGAAGGACCACTAGTGACAGGGGACTTGGATGCTTTGAATATCATTACCTATAGGGGCCTGAGTCCCCCGCTGGAGCCCCACATAAGGGAAGGGATGTACTGCTCCCCTGGACACCCTGACCCCTCTAGAAGTTGGTATGGAATCTCAGAAGTAGAATGCTGGTAGGAGGTGGAACCAGCATCCTAAAAAGGGCATGAGTCTTCTGGTCTCTGTTGATGTTGCGTTGGGACAACCCTGCAGGAGAGGAAAAGGGTCTCAAAAACGCTGCTTATGAAGGAGTAGGAGTTGGAAGTAAGAGGTTGGTTCCCTCTCTCCCGTGCTCTAGAGGTGAATCACCCTCTGAATGGAGGTGTTTTACAATAATCTCCTGGAAGCCTTCCTTTTATTAGCCCACCTGCAAAAAAATGTGAGAGGATTGGCTGACTGTGTCAGACAGTGTTATGCTGTACCGCAGCCCCTCACCTTGCTCTGCTGGGTAAGCAGATCATTATATTACAATTTATAAATAGAAAATAAAATAAAATTATTGGGTAGGGCTGAGGCACTGGGGAAGAAGAGGCTAAACAGTCCTCATTAAGGAGTGTCCACAATCAGCCCTACCTACCAAGGACCGGGGATCAACCTCCTCTCGGTTGAGAGTTGCCCCTAAACCAGGCAGTTCCCATAAAGCCCTTTTTCTCTCTTTCCCTCCCCCCTCCCAATCAGCGAAACCTGCTGCCCATATCCCTAGAGCTTAGCCAGCACAGCCCAGTTTCGTTGAGCGCCTCGAGGTTTCTACGCCTGGGCACTCAGCCCATTAGCTCCTCCGCCAAGCGATAGAGAAGGCGAGAGTACCAATGCATGCCAGTCGGCTGGACTGCACCGCCGGGGAGCAGCCCTCCCAGAGCATGCAGCAGGCGCAAAGGAGCAAAAGCGCGGTGCGCCCACTGGTGACTCTCTAAAACCGCGTAGCACGAGGCCAGGACATCGTTGACCAGCAGCGTCCCGTGAGCGGTGAGCGGCGCGAACACGCCCACGGCTTCCTCCCGCGCCACCCGGGCTACGCGCGCCGGCCGAAGCGCGTCCCCACCCGGCGCCAGCACTGAGTCTCCAGCGCGTAACCGGCGCGCGAACACTGGTGCAAAGTCGCCTGGAGCGGGCGCTGGCCCTCGAGCGGCAAACACCAGGTGCCAGGGTGTGAGCAACAGTTTTCTAGGAGGCCGCTCTGTCTCTACAGCCACGAACGAGGCTCGGCGCTGCAAGTCTCGGTCCAGGAAGAGCAGCACCGGTGTGGGCACCACCCGGCCTGCCGCATCTGCCGCCAGCACCCAGTCACCGCGATGCAGTTCCCGAAGCCCTTTCCGCTCGCCACTCCGCAGGCGCACGGTGGCATTTCCCGGAAAGCAGCCGCCTGCCCGGACTGCCAGTGAGTTATCTGCAGGGAACAAACATAGAACTGAATCAAGATCAGTGCCTCCAGAAAGTTGGTACACATTCTCAAAGATGTGTGTCAAGCCCAACGCAGACTTCGCTACTCCTGGACAGTGGAACTTCCCACGGATCTGACCTCACCCTAGGCAGAAATGGAAGGGCGATTTACAACACTAACGCCCGCTTGGTCTCCTCGAGGATAGCAACAGCGCTATTGTAGACTCAGTTTCCAGGAGAGAGCCCCTTTTGGGCGGGCCTTACCACCCGTCCCTTACTGTACCAGCTTTGACGGACACGTGGACGTGGTTGCGGGACTCATAGTAGACCCAATCGAAGCCAGCTTCCACTGCCAGGCGCGCCAGCAAACCATATTTATTTCGGTCGCGGTCAGACGTGGTGATGTCCAAGGCACGGCCTTCGTAGTGGAGTGAGTCCTGAACGTGGTGGCCGTCTTCATCCCAGCCCTCGGTCACCCGTAGGCGCACTCCAGGCCACATGTTCATCACCGCAATGGCCAGCGCGTTCACCCGCTCCTTGCAACGCTGGCGGGGAATAAAGGAGGCAGTCTCCCCACTACCATCACGGCGGGGGGCAACAGGGACCTACATAGAAGGGTCGATTCTTTGTTCTCCAGCCTCCCTCACCTCCCTCCCAGTTTCTGAGTGTCCTGGGGAAGTGAGATGTGAATAGATAACCAATCTGCACTCTCTTGCCAGGGCGTCAGTGGAGAACCGTTGGGGTCTCCTCTGAGGTTGAGAGGGGGCGCCCATACCTAGCTCTTTTCCAATTTTTAATGCCCCCCCACCACACACATACTTGTTCTGGGACGTTGGCCCAACCTGCGAGAGAGCCACAATTGAGAAAGCGGGTGGAAGTTTGGTTAGGGAGGGCCTGACTCCCCGAGAGAGGAGCCCCTGTTTAAGCCTGGCCCCCGCCCCAGGCCCCCCGGCTGCCCTCCCTTCGCCTGATTCATCTTTTGTTTCGTTGCCTTCCCTGGCACTGGGCATTGCTTCCTTCCTTCCTTCCTTCCTCCTCCTCCTTTCAGCCCCTAGCATTAACCCCTTCGTGGTCTGGGTGCCCCCCACAGAGGTGCCCAAGAGCAGCGGTGCGGGATTAAGACTGCTGGAAAAAGGGTTGGGTGGCGTGGGTTGCGCGAAGTACAATGGCCATTCTCCGGGATGACTTAACTGAACGAGAATCCCGGGCCGAGGCAGGGAAGGCGCGGGGAGAAGCGGACTCAGCAGCTCCAGCCACAAAGGCGCTTTTCAGCCGCCCGGGCTCAGGGAGAGGAAAGGGCAGAAAGCCGCGCCCCCCGTCCCTGCTCTGGCCCGCCAGGTCCCCTCCCCCAGTGTGGTCAGTCCTCCCAGTTCCAACTAAAGCTCTACTAGTCCCAAGAATTTCCATCTGTCCATCTCTGATCCAGAAGCAGCCCAAAAAGGCGTGGGAGCAACACCTGAAAATAACTGGGCGCTGCCCTTGCGATCTGGGGGGCCCCCTGCAGGGTGGGAGTGGAAAGGAGGAAAAAGGAGCAGAGGCTGGAGGCCTGCCGCCGGGGGAGTGAGGCCACAGTTATCTCTGCCGCTGCAGTCTGGGAGCTGGAGACCTTGGCGCACACCATAGCACGGACACCGCGGGAGGAGCGCAAGGAGATCAGCAGCTTTTTCTTCTTCCCCCTCTGATCTCTCACCTCAGAATTGGTTTCTCCTAACTGCCAGAGGGACACTTTTCCCCTGCCTTTCTTTACTAGTTGTCACCACCTCTACAGGGGTTGGGGTGTGTGTGTGTGGGGGGGGACGAACAGGAAAAGGGGTAGCTCCTTCCAACTTCTTGTCGTTTTGTCCCCTAAGGAGGCCCTGACCTGCGGGGGCAGCAGCCCTGTGCAGAGCCAACTCAATGGAGGCCTTTTGCAGCCAGGGTGTGGGAGATAAGCAGGACTGAGGGGGTTCCCAGGCCTGTCAGAGGCTCTCCTGAGTCTGTCCCTTGTTCTGCCCCCTCTGCTGCAGGTGGCAGCCAGAGAGGGCTAACAATGTTCTATGACTAAGGAGGGGAAAAGGAATGCCCTTCCTAATCTCTGGGTAGGAGGAAGGCTTCAGCACAGGAACAAGAGGGAATTCTTTCTCCCCTGGACAGGTTTTCCTAACAAAGTAACCTGGAAAACTATGGCAATTAATCAGAGGAAATCCGTACTCCTCCCTCTCCCCCCCACCTCCCCACTCCATACACAATTAGGTGGTGTAATGGAAAGTGTATAGGACTTAGAATTCAGGAGTCCTTAATTCTATCCCAGCAATGCTACTATTTAGTTGAGACTTTGATTAAATTGCTTTTCCTCCTGGGGCCCAAGCTCTCAGATATAAAGTGAGGAGTGGGGTGAGGTGGAGGATTGTGACTTTAAAGTTTCCTTTCAGTTCTGACACTCCTTCTACTAGTGGTCCTCTTCCAAGCCATGGCCCACCTCAACCCAGATGGATTTAGTCTGCAGCAGATACCCACTAATAGTAGTTGAATTTAATTCTTTGGAGGAAAGTCCCTGTGCTAAGCTGAGCTTGGAGGACCTTGGAAGCCTTTTGATTCTCAGGTAGACCCATCTGTTCTCACTGAGGATTTGTTTTCCCCCCCCAAGTTTGTTGCTTAGACCCTAGAATAGCCCTATCCTGGCTCTAGTACACCTCTCTGGTGCCAAAGACATTTCCTGCTCAGCCTCTTCTCAGGTAGATGGCCTGGTGACCTGACCCTTTCCCAGCACCCTTCGGCTTCTTCTTTTCGGTCCATAGAGCTTTTCCACATCAGGTCAGGAGCCAAGCTAATGGTAAAGCCTTCTGTCTACCACCCAGCCAGCGCTGGCCCCCAGCTCACCCCAGCCCTTCCTGCCTGGCTCAGTGGCTGACCCCCGGTCCACGCCTCAGCCATTTCCCGTCTCGCCTGCCGCCATCCTCCTTTCCCTCCCACCCACCCCCCCTGCCTCTCCCAGCTTCACTCTCACTAGCCAGTCCCTCTTCTCCTTCCTCATCGCAGCCTCTCCCTGTTGGGATAACTTCTGACCATTGTCCAGCCAGCAGGCTAATTTTTAGACTAAGGTCTTTGTACATGAAGCCTGGCTCACCCTCCGGAGCTGTCATAGGATAACTGAGGAATTGGTGGTGCCCTAACGCAGGTGGGGGAGCATTCCTTACCTCGGTCATCAGGCGGTCAGCACCACTGTTCTCTTCATCTTTGAAGATGATGTCAGGGTTGTAGTTGGGCACAAGGTCCCGAAAACGCTCGGAGTTCCGTGTCACCCTCCCCTCCGCCGGCCCACTGGCGCCCAGGGTCCGCTCGGGCACGCTGGGCACAAATTGCTTGTAGAGCAGCGGCACAAGCTGTTTGCGCACGTAGCGGCGCCTGCCAACCGGTCCGCGGCCCGGCCCGCAGCTCTGGGCAGGCAGTGCCAAAAGTGCCAAGCAGCACAGGGGCAGCAGGCTGGCTGGCAGCGCCATGAGTGTAGCGGGCGTGGGCCAAAAGGGAGCGTTTCGTTCTCACTAGCTCTCCTGTCAGTTGGGCATCTCCAGTCGCCAGAGAGCGCAGCAGGCAGAGCTGCCCCAGAGTGCCCTAGGCCTCTTGTGGCTCTGAGCACCTAGCTGCCGTTAGTTCTGCCCACATGCCCCGGGGGAGCCTGGACCCTGCTACTGATGGACCACCATAGCAGGGCGGGGGAGTCGTGGGTGCCAGTCCAGCCTGTCTCTGCGGCTGGGCTCCAGTGCTGCCAGAACGCGCCGACTCCGCCTTAAGTGGCCCCTGGCCCCGCCCCCCGCCCTTCTCCCAGTACCGTCCCACCCCCTCCCACCCGGGCGGGGGATCCAGCCAGTGGCCACTGTTGCATTGCACGACTGAAGTGTGTCCCATCCTGGAAACCATGCAGGCACCTGCCTAGGAAATCCTTGTAGCTTTACAGTCCTTGGCTGCCTGGATAAGCATCCTTCTACCTCCAAGCCTAAATTTGGAACCAAACCATCCTCCTCTGAGACTTGAAATGGGTCTTTGCTCTCCCAAGGCCTACCTTGGCAGGCCATGCCCTCTGCTGTCATCCAGGAAGTAGCAGTTCCAATTTCTGCTCAAGGCCAGCCAAGCCCTTTGGGCATACCTCCCTTCTCTGTGGTCCTCCACAAACCTCCCTGGTTTCTATCTCACTTCACACTCAGCAGTAACCAGGACTAGAAGGTAAGGATCTCACAGAGCCATTTTCTCTAGTAACCTTATAGTCCTCCTCTGGGAACTTCCCCAGAACCAAAGACAGCTTGGTACTTATAGTCCACTCTAGGACTTCCAACTATTGTGTCCTCTGAATCCCTGCCAGCCATCCAACAACCACTTTTTTGGAATGAGTAACTGGTCATTTGAAAACTGCTGAAAGGCAGTGGGCACTTAAAGTTCTAGTCTGTAAGATAATGACCAACTCCCATCACGTTCCATCTAGCACTTCCCTCTTGACTCCTTGGGACCCCAAAGCCATTTAGGTTTCATCTCAGAGGCACTTCACTCATCAATGTCTATCACTTATAAATCACTTCCTCTAAGAGGCCTTCCCTGATGTCCCAACACTGGCCACCTGTGTTCCCTTGCTAGGCAGCAATTAACTGCTACAGTAGGACAGTATTAAAATTGTCTGGCACCCTTCTAGACAAAGCAGTTCTTCAGCACAACTTGTTTATCATGTATCTCCAAGGCTAACTGTCTAGTCTACAGTAGGGTGCTCAGCAACTCTATTTTGTTTTGTTTTGTGGTACTGGGGCTTGAACTCAGGGCTTACCCCTTGACCCATGCCACCAGCCCTTTTTTGTGAAGGGTTTTTGAGATAGGATCTTGAGAACTATTTGCCTGGGTTGGCTTTGAACCTCAATCCTTCTGATCTCTACCTCTTGAGTAGCTAGAATTACAGGTGTGAGCCACCTGAGCCTGTCAGAATCTATACTTTTTATATTCCAGACACATCCTCCCTTCACTGCACAGTAACTTTGTGTACACCTGACTTCTATTTACAAGAAAATGGTCATGGAGGGTGGGAATGTAGCTTAGTGGTAGAGTACCGACCTAACATGTGTGGTCCTGGGTTTGAGCCCTAGCACTAAAAAAAAAGAATATGGCCATAGTAGCTACGCATACGACTATGGGGTACATGGTGGCCCTAGGAGCTATGCGATGTATAACCCTAGGCAGAAATTTTGACCCTACCCTAAACATAGCAAAAGGACTTCAAGGAGGTGATAACCTCCGTAAAGATGAAGTTAGGTTCTTATCTAAGATAGAATAAAAAATCCTTGTTAACCAAACCACTTCTGTATAGCCAATTGTCAAGTATGGGAGGACAGGGCTGGGGTTATCTTATTCCTATGCCATGGCAGCTCCCAACTGTATAGCCTAGTGCCAGATCTATGTCCCCAAAGCACACCAACAATGTAGAAAGTGGGGAAGGACAACGATGGTGTCAGGACCCCTCTGCTTCTCCCACTTGGTAGACTCAGGACTGGATGGAGCAAAGCTATTCAAATAGACACAGAGACAGGCTCTTTAAAAAAAAAAAAAAACCAAAGCAAACCCTGGTATCAACTTTATTGCTGATGGGTGCAGCCTCTTCCTCCCTATGCCCTCCGTCTCTCCAGTGGTCCAAAGTCCCTCCAGGTTAGCACAGTGCTTAGGCTCTGCTGGGCCAGAAGCAAGGGAGACAACCTGCCTCCTGAGCCTGCCCCTGGCCCATTCCCTCCCATTCCCACCCCACCCTATTGCACATCAAATCATGTAAACATGGCTATGGGCATGGCCCAGAATAGCAGTGAGGCAGATTGATGTGTAAACACATTTGGGACCAGGAGCCAGATCCAGTCACCCAGCTCTACCCCATGCTGAGGCCACAGCTAAGTCTGAAAAAATGGGGGTCTGGTCCCAAACTCTGGCTCAGATTATGCAACAGTGCAGATGGCTCAGTTCTCCTCTGCCACCCACCCTCTCAGACCTAGGTCCTGAGGTCCATACACCCTGGGCTCCCTTCCAGGTCTAGGCAGCAGATGGCAGTGTCCAGTTTTATCCTTCCTACTCCCAACTGGGTCACTGGTGCTGGGTCTTCCTAGATGCCCGGGGGAAACTGGAGACAGGAAGTGGCAGTCTGTCCAGTCCTGGAGAAAAAGGAGAGATGGGCAGTCAGAAGTGGGCTACAGGTCTAGTCCCTCAGGGATAACACAATCAGGGCACAGGATGGGTGGATGAGATGCTTATGCACACAGTATGTCCTCTCCTCTGCTAGCATGAACCCTGGTCCAGAGTGCCCTATCTTACAACCACCACCCCCCTAGCCTGTGCCTCCCAGCCTCCCACTTCCTCTCACCGAAGGCCCGGATCAGCTCTGCCCTCACAGCTGCGGTGAAGGTCTTCACCAGACTGAGTGTGGTAAGGCCTGCGAAGGCTGCATTGTAGAGGAACACGATGTAGAAATTGCCTAGCCAGTTGAAGCGTCCAAAGTCACCCAGCAGGTCAAAGCGAGTCAGCCCTGGAGTACAAAGGCTAGGATGAGAAGGGGGCTTCCCAACCCTTCTCCTAATAGGAGCCCAACTTTCTGCTGCCTCCTGGTGGTCACATCTAAACACTGCAACTGGCAATCTCTATGCATATTATTGCTACCTGCTAAATTTTGTCTCAGCAGCTAAACGTGCTCCAATTCCCCTTCCGCAGCCTGGCATCTATTCTTTCAAAGGGGTCCCCTCTGGCTCCAAGTGTCCCTTAGGAGTTCCCTTGTTCCTGAGTCAGGAATCTACAAGTTTTCCTTAGTACACAGAGAAGTGGGGTAGATAAGAGCTCAGACTATAATCAGCCTGCTTTGGTTCATATCCCAACTCCACCTCTAACTATCTACAAGATCAAGTTCCTTAAACCCTTTGTGCCTCGGTTTCTTCAACTTTAAAATAGAGAAAAGGACTGTAAGAATTAAGACAATGCCTACCAAGCATAAGGCCGAGTTAATCCCCGTGCCACCAAAAAAATAGATACAATACAGAAGAATCTTAAAAAAAATTAAAACAACATCTATAAAGCCCTGTACATCCCAGGCACTATTCTAATACTAAGTCCTTAATAATATTATCATAGGTCAAAGATCTGAACCCTCATTTAAATATTCCTAGCTGCATCCAACCTAATGGACCATAGCCCACTTTCCTACTAAATTCCTATGGCATAAATACAAATAGCATAATGGAGAAAGTACAAGTTGAGCATCCCTGCCCAAAAAGTCTAAAATCTAGGGGGTGAATTCAACTATGATATATTTGAATGTGACATTGATGGTAAATGCCACAATATATACCCAGTACAACAATAAACACCCCAACAATCAAAATTATTGGAGGTTTTTTTTTTTTTTGGTGAGACTGGGGTTTAAACTCAGATCTTCAGGCTTGCAAAGCAGGTCCTATACAGCTTGAGCACAACTCCAGTTCATTTTGCCCTGATTATTTTGTCTCACAAACTATTTGGCCCTACTGGCCTTGAACTGTTACCCTCCTTACCTCAGCCTTGCAAATGGCTAGGATTACAGGTATGAGCCACCAGCACCCAGCTCCACTGGAGCATTTTTTTTTTTCTTTTTTTTTCTGTGGTACTGGGGTTTGAACTCAGGGCCTATACCTTGAGCCACTCCACCAGCCCTGTTTTGTGAAGGAGTCTTTCAAGATAGCATCTCATGAACTATTTGCCTGGGCTGGCTTCGATACTCCTGATCTCTACCTCCTGAATAGTTAGGATTACAGGTGTGAGCGCCTGGCACCGGGCTCCATTGGAGCATTTTGGATTCAGATTTTTGGATTTGGGATGCCCAACTTCTAAAGTCAATGCAAATATGCCCAAAATTGAAAACTCCAAAACATTTGAAACACTTTCTTCTGGTGTCAAGCACTTTAGACAGGAGATATTCAAACTTTATAAAGTTAAGGACTGGTGGAGTGGCTCAAGTGGTAGAGTGCCTGGAGGCCCTGAGACCAACCCCACTACTGCTAAAAAAAAAAAAAAAAAAAAAAAAAGAAAGAAAAGAATCAAATAATGCTGACTGAAATATAAAACCAGTTACATTTTGAACTTTTCGTTTTTTATTTTATTTTTGGCAATACTGGAGTTTGAACTCAGGGCCTTGCTATGCAGGTGCTCAACCACTTGACCCACTCTGCCATTTGAGGTTTGAACTTTTTTACCAGGTAATTATAAACAAAAGTCTAAAGGCAGGAGAAAGACTAAGGGTGTGATATGCTGCCAGAGTGTGGGAAAGCACTGTCCTAGGGTTCAGGGGACAGGGTTCAGCCTTATGTGGCCTTGCCTCTAACTAGCTCTGTAACTGTGGATCACCAATTAGTTTCTCTTTTCCTCATCTATTTATTGAGAACTTTTGCTGTTGTGCTGGGGATTAAATCCAGGGCCTTATTCATACAAATGAGGGTTGATCATTCATTTAAAAATATTTGTTTCTTTTCTTTTTCTTTTTTTTAAATTTTTGGAGACAGGGTCTTGCTATGCATATAGCTCAAACTGGCCTGGAACTCAAAATCCTCCTGCCTTGCTGCCTCCCAAATGCTGGGATTAGAGATGTGAACCACCGTGCCCAACCTGAGATCTGGGGAAAAGCAGTGCTTCTTGTCAAAAAAGTAGAAGTGGGGGAAACAGCAGGATGTAGCAAATGTAAAAAGGTGTGAGCTTTGAAGCAACATAAACACTTCCAGAGCCTCCTTTTCCCATTCTGTTATAATAAGGCAA